AAATCTCCCTAATTTTCCTTCAGCTTGTAAATAAAAATGGACAATTTGGGAAGAGAAGATGCGATTATTCGAGAGTCTTGCGGCTCGTTTTTTAGTTTTTGACAACTGGTAACTATAAAAACTATGAAAATTATGAAAACTATAAAACCTATACAAACTATAAAAACTATAATCATATCTCCTCTTCCGAAATAGTCCATTTTTGTACGCAATCTGAGCGCGAATTAAAAAACTATAAAAATTATAAAAACTATAAAAACTATAATCGCATCTCCTCTTCCGAAACAGCCCATTTTTCTGCGCAATCTGAGCGCGAATTAAGGGAAAAGAATGACCATGGTTGCGCAAAGTACACTCCCGTTCGCGTGCAACGCTTTGTGCAATATTTTAAACAGACGCATCGAACAAAAACGACATCGCAAAGGAAAGAAAATTCAACGGTATCCAAAGAATTTGAGAAATTAACTCCGCGTATCCTCGGCCGATTTCTCGGCTTAAAAGATTTCTTGCGTTAAAGACTGTTGCGAACGCTGTGAAAAATCGCCGTGCAAAATTGACGCGCTTTTTGATCGTCGGATCAAACGATTTCCTCTGACAGGTAAAAAAGAAAAAAGGTACTGAAATGCCTGCAGCAAAGCGATTCGACGGCTCCAAAAACTATCGAAACATCACAAGCTGGGAAAGTTGAACGCGGCTGAGACAAGTTAAATCGTCTGTCCCGGTTCGCGGGCCGCGATTGGCTAAGAGAGCTCTTTACCCTTGAAGCCACCCGCGAGGACAATAAATGCCAGATATTCTGAAACCATTATGGCATCACGGACAGGTATCGTTCGGTCATGTTTCATTGTTCCGCGGCAGTTAAGGGAATCGGGGATATCGCGGCCGGTCGTACTTGCTCTGCCATTTTCCGCTTAATTATTTATCGGCCGCGCAGATCTACGCTTTAGACAGACGTTTGTTGGATACAGCAGACTCGGGGGGACCTCTCGGTTTTAGAGAGAGATTCCCGGTAACCCGGGACACCCATGCGAGGCATATTTCTACACACTTGTCCAGAGAAGGTTGAGCTATAATGGATTAAGAAACGCTGCTGCTGCTGCTGCTGCTGCTCGTCTCCACTTGATGACCTGGCTAATTGCTGTTATGCGCGCATCTCGCGCCCGGTTACGTGCGCGCGCGCGCGCGCGAGCGCGAACGTCCAAAGAGAAATGATTTCGCGCCGGGGCCCCTCCACGCACGCTCCCGTAATCAGAATAATCAGGGGACAATTCCAATCGACTTTCTCCTTGCTACGAATTCCTCGGCGAATCGGCGGCGACGAGCGGCGAGAATACACGGAAGCGGGTTCGCACGTCGTTATTGAATAATGATCTCGAACTCGAGTCGGGAGACTGCGCGCGCGCGTACACACGTTGCGTGTTCCCTCCTCCGATCGGCATCTGTCTTGCTTTCTTTGTTACGACCTCGATGCCGCGGATGATCGTACCATTTCGAAACACCCCGCGTCGGAGGTCGGTACATAGAGGAACGGGAGGGAAGAAAAAAAAAGTCTGCGGTCTCGCGGCGGTTCTTGCGCGTCCTGACGCAACGAGGTGAGCGCGGATGGACGTTCCCGACGGTAACAAGGAGAGCTACCGCGTGGACGCTATCCGGCAAATTCATTTTCTAAACACGACCAATCATCCCCTCTCCCTCGGTCATCGAGAAGATGCGTCCGCGGACGGTTTCGCAACGGCGACGCGCGCACCGACGGCGAGGACGACGACGGCTGAGCCCCCCTGGCGTCAACGTCGGAACCGTCAACGATGCCCACGAAAAGACCCTTTTAGATCGCGCGCACTCGCCGGGCCAGTTGTGTCTTCTTTCGCTCGGAAGTCTCGTGCCGGCGCGCATCTGTCCCGATCATCGCTGCCAGATAGAAAACCTGCTGAACCGCGTCCTTTGCCGAGGCGATCTTAATTGTTGCGATTACTCTCGCGTTTGTAAGCTGTCGCCGGTCGTTTCACCCTTTCGAGTCTGTCTCGGGACGTATGTGTCACATCTATGCGTTTTCGTACGTTTTCCATAGTACATCATGTACAGGGTGGCCCAAAAATGTCTCGCAATGCGGAAATGGCGGGTTCCTCGGATCGTTTGAAGCAACTTTTTCCTTTAGAGAAATGTTCTCCGAGGCACCGTTAATGAGTTATTAACGAGAAACAGTGACCAATGAGAAGCGAGTTCAGCGGGCGCGAGGCGACCGAGCCAATGAGCGGAACTGGGCTTCGTGCGTTGGTTGGCTAGACCGCCACTAGCCGTACTTGATTCTTATTGGTCGGTGTTTTTCCGTTAATAACTCCTTAACGGCGCCTCGGAGAAAATTGTTGTGAAGGAAAAAGTTGCTTCGAATGATCCGAGGAATCGCCACTTTCGGATTTGCGAGACATTTTTGGGACATATATATATACCAGTCTCAGGATACGTATCGCCCACGTATTTGTTTACACGTAACCACATAAGCTCTCAGTTTGGCGGTGAAGTCGGGCCAACGCTATTAAAATCAACGTTTCTTGTTATTAGCAATGCCTGCGGTGATTCGTGACAATCGATTTGAAACATTTATTCGTAACTTCACGCGAGGACGATGCACCGTAAGCTGTATTCTTTTGAGGTTATAAAATGACATATTAGAGAGACAATATGTATTTAGACTTTACAAACGCGTGCGTACTTAATGGTTGTAGAAATTGAATTTCGAATGTAGAGAATTCATGAATAACTTGATTTCAGATATAACGCAAACTAACGAGAAATAAATCAGGCTTCAAAGGGTTGATCGAACGTCAGCTTCTATCGTAAACGCGTAACAATTATATCGCTGTATATTACGCAGTTCGGTACTTTATGGTATGAATGCGAATTTATATTTATACCGCAACAGTAATATTATATTATATTATTATATTATTATATTATTATTAGTATTATTATTATTAACAGTATTATTATATTACATTATATTATTATATTACGTTAAATTATATTATTATATTACGTTACATTATATTTTTATATTATGTTACATTATATTATTACATTACATTACATTATATTATTATATTACGTTACATTATATTATTATATTACATTACATTATATTATTACATTACATTAGATTACATTATATTATATTATATTATATTATATTATATTATATTATATTATACAGCAAACATTTATTCCGATCAGCTTCATACACGACGCAGCGCCATTTTTATTTCTGCTCGACAATTTAATAAATCGAACGACCGATACGAGTCGAATATCATCACGATTCGATCGAAATAAGAACAATAGAGTTTCGCTTGCAAATCGTAAGTAATTTAGTTTTCATTTAAATCGAACATTTCTTCGTAATAATCATTCCAGTAATAACTGCTCACGATGTAAATGTTTCGCAGGCGGTGCCGTTCGACGCAAATCAAACGCATTAATCCTCGTACTAATCGTTTCTCAAAAATCTTATCGTCTCGCCTGTCGGAGCAATTCCGGGACAGCTGACGCAACACTGTTCGCGTGTATCGGAATCCGCAAATACTGGAGCTGATTGTACTTTCATCCCGGATACCGAGCGCGGCGCAGATAATAGCCAGGCACACAGTGTTCTCCGGCAGCGTGTAAATTTTAAGCATTCGTGCCCGTAGGGTAGCAAGACGTCGATGGAACGGTAATGGAGGCGGGTCAGCGAAAGGATGAGGCGAACAAAGGAAACGCGCGACGTCGAAGAACGTCAATATCGGTGAAGGTATATCGCTGCGGCTGTTGGTCTCGAAAGGGGTCCCAAAAAAGGTATCGACATGCCATCATCCGTGGGCACCGTGGATCGCTGGATCGATAGGATCAGGACTCGTGCGCGCCGCGAAGAGGAACGGTTTCTCCGGTGTCGAGGAACGAGCGAGTGAATGGGTGCACACGGTAGCGTTTCAAGCCTTCTCGAGCGAGCCGGCTCCGGGGAAAGAAAATATAGTGCAGTCCGGTTGCATAATGGCACGGAGGCGCATCACGTCGACCCGAGGCTCAACGCGAGCTACTTTGAGAGAGAACCTACGGTAACCAGTCTCCTGTGCACCGTCGACGGTGACCTTTGCAGCCGAAGGCGGCCGCGTCGGGGTAGGGGTGCCGTAACGCTGCAACCGACCGGTGCGCGTCCAATCAGCCCTAGGCTGTGAAGGTGGATGATGATGATACAGTTTCCATGCGGCACGAACAGACAGCGCCGGCATCCGGAATCGTAGCCGCCTTAGACGGTCCGCGAGGGCAGATCCTTCGAATCCCAATACGGGAGACATTCGGCATCCGCGAATCAAGGATGCGATTAGACGCGGCCGGCCGACCGCGGAGAGCAGTTTTCCGTACGTACGTGCGAGCAAAGCGTATTGCCAACTCGAAGGGATGACGCAACGCGAGGCTCTCGGTGCTTTGATAATCACTGGTATCAATTACAAATCTCGAAGTTTCGCACAGTTGACGGATTTCACTCGAGGAGACACATTCTAATTAGCATCGACAGGCAGTCGCGTCTAATTAATAGGGACACGGGTGATTAGAAGTACAGCGCGCGTGTACGTGTACAGAGTTTGAAAGGAACGTTAATTAGACAGAATGAAGTTATTGCGTGTGTTCGGCTGCCGTTTTTTCTTTTTCTTTTTTTTTTCTTTTACAGCCGACCGCAACATCTTCGAGTCGTGTTTTTCCTTATTCCGAATTTTATCGCCGCGAGACGCAGCGTCGTTGCTCCAGGGAAGTAATTAACGTTTCTCCTACGATCCTGTAATTAATTATTTCGATATTGATTAGGTGAAAGCTTTCGTCTTTGTAAAATCATCGTTTTCTAACGTGTATGTAAAAATTTGTATCTGTCGATGCGCATGTACATATTCGATGCTGTTTACGGTCTGAAGTCCGGAACGGCGAGTTTCATTTTTCGAATTCGGACGCCAGGCTGTGCAATTTCCAGTTTGTACCCGGCGCGTAGGTTGGCAACGCTAAATTTGAACGATTTCGGCTGGAACACCGCCATCTGCAAACGGCGTTCCGAACCATCGCGAGACCACCGACACACATGCAACCGATTCGAACTGTCCTGAGCATCATCAACAGTTCCGAGAGACGCGAAAGTGGAAGTTCGTGTTCCGTAGAATGCGAGAACCGTTATGGCCAGCTTTCGTTGAAGTATTTGGTTACCGAAACACGAGAAGCCAGTAATTACTCGCGCCGCGGTCGGATATGGCGGAGGATCCGGAGGACGAACGGCCGAACAATGTTCTTCTATTTCGCATCGCCATTTCAAATTGCTTCAAAAGCATCGCGGAATCGGTTGGGTAAGTAACAAAAATTCTTTTCGATGTTCAACCAGAAATCTGACAATATTAACTAATGTAAGTTTATGTGATATTTACTAATGTAACTTTATGTAAGAATAATGCACCGCGAGCTGTATTATTTTGAGGTTATGAAAAGACATATTTCGTGCCAATAGTCGCGGTTGTTTTAGACGTTGCAAACGCATGCGCAGTTAACGGCTGTAGAAATTCAATTTCGAACGTGCAAAATTCATTGTCGCGGCACTAAACTATATTAATTTAGTATTAACAATAATTAAATAGTTAAACGGAATTGTTTGCGTGAGGAACGAGAACGAAAATTGTAGCCTCACGAATTCCAGGGAATAGATGATAAACCATGCAAACGTGTCGAATTTATAAGCGGAGAAAGTGAGAAAAGACTGGCACGTGTAAAAAGCTTCAGCGTATACAATGTGAATGCGATTAGCTCGGCTATTCACGGGCTAGTGTTTCGGCGGTGTCAGATTGTACAGATAAAATAGACGCACAATGAAAAACGTACGATCAAAAGAGCGTCGACTGGCAACTCCGAGGGTAAGCAGATTGTAAGCCGTATCGGTCGTGTGTATACGATGGAAAATATTGATTACATTATGACGAGCGATGATTCATTGTTACCGAGAATTTCGTCCGCTTGTACGAGGACGCAGTTCGTGCTTCGAGTTACGCTATTTTCGAGTAAATTCATGGCGGCGATGGTACTGGAAACGTGAAGTGTGTCGAATCGAGGCCCGCGGTCAAGAATGTCGACTCGGTTCGGATGAAAGCCGAAAGATAGCCGCTCGCACGAACGTTGTACATAACGTTACAGCTTATTAACCTATTAACTATAAATTGCGTGTACATATATATATATACGTCATTCCGTAGCAATGTAAATTGTATTGTAGCGGTATTCAACGTAGGATAAACCCACGGACCATCGCCGTTCCCCTTTACTTTACGTCCATGAAGATATTCGTGATCAATAAATCATCCGGTTAACAGGTTAATCGGGAAAGGCGCGTTAACTCATTATTCAACGCTGCTTTTCAGTAACTTCTTTTTCGTTCGGAGGATACGAATTTCCATTCCGCTAATGATACTTATTTTCTGTTACGTAACGGCACGCTTGCATCAGCAGAATTCGCGCCGCGCGGCATAGGCGTTAATTATGACAGAATCTTTACGGTATTAATTTGGCTCTTCGCGAAGCGAAGCCCCTTCGTGCACGAAAAATCTGCTGGTTAACAGTTTCGAGAGGCACGGCGGACCGTTTATCAGTGTCAAGAGGGGCGGGGAGGGGGGAGAGGTTCGGGTCGTCGATGACCCAAACGACCGATGCTGTTACTCGATGTCATTGGCCTCTGTGACTCGCCTGTTAATTTGTGGCCGTTCACGTGGCCAAGCAATTGTCCGACTCTTTGACCACCGCCAACACCAACACACATTATTGCTCGGGTCTCGTTCCTGTGCCGCGATCGAAGTTTCGGGTCGAACGATGGTTTGAAAAAATTTGGTTTCCCTTCGGGGTTTCCGCTTCCCAGAAACTGCCGGTCTTTGAAACCCAACACACCAGTCGACCTTCGAGGAATTCCACGAAGTGTTCGAGGAAACAAAGGGCCCCTGGTGTGTGCGGTCACCGTCGTGTTCGGCCTGCTCCCATTCCCATCATTCGTGCAGTGCGTGTCGCGGGGATCGCGCGTGCTTCTGGCTCTCCGTTCTTCCCACGTTAGAATAATTCGGTGACGGAACGGAACGGAACACACTCATCGATATGGACGCCATGTTCGGCTTCGAGAAACGCTTGTACAACGTTCGTCGCGGCTATACCTCCGCGATTCGTTTGTTCGTTCGTTCGTCGTTAATCGCTTAGAGACGAGTTTAATATCGTTCCAGTGATATTCTATTCTTTGTTTTCACATCTGTTCATTTATGGTTCAACACGTTGATAAAATCATCGCGTCGACGACAATCCTAACGTCCGTGTAGCTGAAGTTAATTAATTTATATTTGTACTCTTTGTGTGAGTTGAGAATCGCAGCTGATCGTTATCGTTCACCTTCGCTTGCTATAGTGCGCCCGTTTCGCGTGTAGGTATTCGTTAGTTAAGACATTATTCGGCGTATCAATTAACTATGTCGAAACATTGTGCAATAATACGTGCACACTATTGTATTCAGTTTTGTTGCCGCGGTATCTGAGTTTAGTATTCGTTTAGTTCTTAATGGGGCATTAATAAATAGCAACGGCGAAGATTTTTAATGAAAAGATCGACAATCGAAACACGCAATTAACGATTTAAGATTGAATCGGTCGCTCGGTTAAATTATTATTTTTAAAATTATTATTATTTTATCATTATTTATTATATTCATTATTATTATTATTTTTATTATTATTATTATTTTATTATTTTTTAAATTATTATTATTATTATTCGCGATGATTCTATGAAGTAGATGCTAACGCAACACGTTTCGACCGCCGCCGAATCATTTTCTATTCCCACAGAAATCTCTAAACGAGACGGAGACGCGTCCGAGAAGATAATTGGACAGAGAGATCGGCCACGCTCGGTTAGGTCCGGACTAATGCAAATATGTAGCATCGATATCAAATTGCACCAGTCCCGGCCTAATGGAGTGCGCGCGAAACAACGGAAGAAGAATCAAAGGTGTGGCCTTCATCCTCGGTAATTCCAAGCGCTTCCCACGAGAACGATAACGTACAGCGAGAGAAGGAGAACGGTGTTCATACATTCTTGATTTCTCGTTTCCGGGCTCTCCTAACATCTTTTCCAGGATACTATCCAGCAAACGAAACTATTCGCGGCCGACCATTTCGTAAGAACTTTATACTTGGCGTAAAAGTTAAAATGTATTGCCGAGAAAAAGATATCGTAGGAGAACCGTGTAGATCGTGAAACGATTTGCTTGTAAGACACAATTAGTTCTAGTTATATCATTGTTTCGTAGCAGTATGGCCACCGCTAATTACTTACATGTTTTATATTCTGCGTGAACTTGAAAGTTTTGGTTACAATTATGAGACAGCGGATGAGAATTTCTCATTAAAATAAATTTTATGGTGTTCGTTTAGCATCATTGTGTGAATCGTTCAGCTAACGTCTTTCAACGTGCGTAAACAATTTCTTTTTCATGCATACATTTTTCGTTACTGATTTGTTGGAGGACACAGATGGCGTAAAATAATTTTTATATTATAATAATATTTATTATAATATTTAATTATAATAATAATATTATAATATAATTATAATAATATTTTTATTATAATATTTAATTATAATAATAATATTATAATATAATTATAATAATATTTTAATTATAATATTTAATTATAATAATAATATTATAATATAATTATAATAATATTTTAATTATAATATTTTTATAATAATATATTATTAATAATATTTCATAACTGATAGACTCGACGAGCCGTTTTTTCGGCAGTAATTAACGTTCGTCGTTAAAAGCGAGAGTTCTGTACGAGCATATTTTCTCTTCTCCTGTTCCATGTAATAAGATCCGGTATTGTGTCGTTAATAAATAAAATTCTCTATACTCACCGGAGCTTTCACAATTACGGAAAGAAGAGACTGTGTTTGCGTTTATTAATCATCTTGTGACGCACGAAAAAATTATTCCGGAAATTGTGCAACACGATTACGTCTTGCTATTGTATGCTTATTATAATACTACAAAACTGGATTGGGTCTGCCGGAATACTGGTTCTCCCCATTCAACCGCGTCGAGGTATTCTTTGTGTGCCGTAAACAAAGAAAAATTTGATTCCGGCGATAGCAGAGCCACCGCGTGCACACAAAGACCGGCCAGTGTGTAGATCGTTCACGGAAGTTCACGTTTACCTGGCCAGGTGTTAGTATAAAAGGAACGTTTTTCGCTCGAGTTACTACAGCACATAACACAACACACCGCGCGTATATTAAGTAGTCTTAAATTCGTTTTTGTTCGGCCGTTTATTATGCATTTATTTATTTATATATCGGCATGTTTAATTATGCCTCTAAAAATCTTGTCGACTTAAACTGTTTAAACTGAAGTAAAATTGTATTATAGTTATTATAACAATTATTACTTTCAGATTAAACGTTAGAATGTGTGGTAAATGTACGTTGACTGCTGCAGAAATTTGTTGCGCTTTAATAAGTATCATTTATGTATACGTATTACAAAAATAAAGATTTAATTTATTAACAGTAGTTCTTATTTTATACTGTTGCTAAGTTCTTTGGGACCTTACAAAAGCTGTATCCATTAATTATTATATAATATATATAATAATATGTGTATTTATATATAATTGTAATATAATTATAATATATAGTGTTATATAATAACACTATATTATAGTGTATTATAATTATATAATCATAATATAATTTAATAAGTAATAAGTAATTTAAATAACTTGTATTATAATTATATAATTATAATATATAGTGTATTTATATATAATTGTATCCATTAATTATTCTGTAAAATATTATTTATTTTAAATTTTATTAAATACTAGCCAAGAAAGAGATGTAACGATCGCAAGCAAAGAGGTGTCCGACAGTAAATATTAAATTGTACAGTTTCGTTTCTGTTAAAATAGAATGTTATTTCATCCGTTAAACTCGTTAACCATGTGAGCTTGATGGATAGTCGATGCGTTGTTATGAGAGTAACGGAAATTCAGGATGCGTCACGGGCCATTATGTCGTAACAAAGGTTAATACAGCTCTAAACAGCGAATAATAGTGTTTAATCACTCGGTTGACCTAATTAATAATGGTCAGAATTTTTGCAAACATTTAAAAGAGATGATTTCAATTATTGTTTCAGTCAGGACACATTTTCCGACATTTTGGCGGCATTGAAATCACAGCCATTGGACGAGCATACTATACAACAATTGCATGCGGCTATGATTAGAGAACTTCACGATGGCATGATCAACGATTTGGAAGGTATATTGAGCGAAGGAAGTATGGAGGAAGCTTTAGCGAAATTAGCAAAGTTGTGCGCGGATTCATCTACGCAAGAAGAAGCCTGGTAAGTTAAAACGGTATCTAGAAGCTATAAATTTTGTTTGTTTTTCTATTATTAATCAAATTCTTGTTTCAGGAGACCACCCGGGAATGTAACTTTACATTTACGCTCTTTGGACGCACAAGTGATGGAAGAAGAAATTGATCTGTTGGCGAAACGTGTGAACGAAATTGAAGAAGAAAATAAAGTTTTAATGAAAGATATCTCGGAGAGAAGGTCAAAAGTGTCTGCGTTACACGATACTATAACGCGGACGTTAAGTAGAACGCCAAACGCAATTGAATTATTACACAACAGGATGGAAGATCTAGAAAAATGTTTGGAGTTCTTAGACCATGAATAAACAACGATGTATTGGAAATTAGAATCAATGAGCACAGAGAATGTTTTATAAATATGTACACAGGAAACGGTATGCGTGTGCGAGAATGAATTGCGTTTAATTAAGATTCTACTAGATAGTTATTATTGCTGGTTCTGACCTCAGACTAGAATGATGTACATAAGTATCGCCATTGTTACTACATCTTGTTTATACAGTATTTTGATTAGAAATGTTCGTTCCAGTAATTCTGGGATCACGTAAAGCTGCATTTATTCTTTCCTTCAAATCTTCTGTTAGATTCTTCTTACCGGCCATTTTCTTCAATCTCCGCAGTAAGGCAATGTTCTTTTTCTGAGAAAAATGTTCTATGACAAATTAAATGAAATCACCGAATACAATCGCTAATGAATATTTAATAGACGTACTTCTTGAACTGTGATTCTTCTTTTAATGTCGGCCAAGTTTCTACCATTTTCATCTGCACGTTTTTGCAATTCCTCGAGTTCTTGTTTCAAATTGGCCCTTAACAAGGTCAGAGATTCGATTTTATGTTGAACATTTTTCTCGTAAGAGTTCACTTTCTCAACACACTTCATATAATCATTATGAATTTCGTTCATTTCACTCTCTAATTCTTTGTATTTTCTCTCTTTGTCCTTTAATATAAACAATCCTTTATCCTTCAATCGACACACTTCGCGAATCTCTTCTTCCACGGATTGATATTCCTTGCGAGATTTTGCTAATTCTACCTTGATATCATTTATTTCTTCATCTACAAGACGAAAGTCGTACGGATTGCAAGCTTTAGCATCTTCGCATTTCGTTGCTGTACAAACATATAGTAATAGTAGTAGTAGTAGTAGTAGTAGTAGTAGTAATAATAATAATAATAATAGTAATGTTATAGCATAACACAAAAACATAAAGTACAATATAGCGTAGAGGACGATGCGGTAAAATAATAAACGGTAGAGTTAAAGTAGAATTTTTTAACCAAAAAATGCACCTAAAAACATATTTCATGTAGAAAATCTTAGAAAAATGAATACTTCTTGTAACGATATATTAAAAAAAAAGAGGAAAATCGTCAAGCTACAATACCCATTTCTGTGTCATCGTCATCATATTCGTTATCGTGATGCATCTTTTGTTATAGCGCGCCGTCCGATTTGAACGAGTAAACAACATGGCCGACGTCGCGCTAAACGCTTCCCGCCTAAACGGACGCCGTCACCCGATTGGCCGTTCTCGGCCAATCGAAGTAGCTCTTTTTGCCGTTGATTTGGCGTAACGGTCGCTAGATGGCGAGACTATTAGCTCAGTCCCTGCTACNATAATAATAATAATAATAGTAGTAGTAGTAGTAGTAGTAGTAATAATAATAATAATAATAGTAATGTTATAGCATAACACAAAAACATAAAGTACAATATAGCGTAGAGGACGATGCGGTAAAATAATAAACGGTAGAGTTAAAGTAGAATTTTTTAACCAAAAAATGCACCTAAAAACATATTTCATGTAGAAAATCTTAGAAAAATGAATACTTCTTGTAACGATATATTAAAAAAAAAGAGGAAAATCGTCAAGCTACAATACCCATTTCTGTGTCATCGTCATCATATTCGTTATCGTGATGCATCTTTTGTTATAGCGCGCCGTCCGATTTGAACGAGTAAACAACATGGCCGACGTCGCGCTAAACGCTTCCCGCCTAAACGGACGCCGTCACCCGATTGGCCGTTCTCGGCCAATCGAAGTAGCTCTTTTTGCCGTTGATTTGGCGTAACGGTCGCTAGATGGCGAGACTATTAGCTCAGTCCCTGCTACGCGGCCGCTGTTCGCCATTGTACCGTGATTGCTGTTAAGTCTCGTGTTTGTGAGTGGGAATTGATCCGGTGTAACCGAGTTCTGGAATTCCTCCACGCATCAGGTAAGTCGAAAATTTCATTTCTCACGGACGAGCGACTTGCGTGGGATCCCGGCGCGCCGCTATTGGCTATCATTTGTCACGTAAATCGGCTCGTCCCGGTGGGAAGTACGTGTACATTTTTTGGGGGTTAGTTTCCGACCCTCGCGCGTCTAGTCAGCCCTCTTCTGTGCGCGTGGTCAAGCCGTGTGTGCAAAACCGTACAGACGATTTCCTAATCGAATCTCCGCAACGTTCGCCGAGAATTCCCAGAGAACTACTCGGCCCGCGTCGAAGCGTCGATGAAACATTGAGGTTATGCGCGATTTATGAGTTCGCCGTTTTTCCAGCGGCGATATTGCGCCGCGAAATTTTTCCGCTTGGTCCCTGGTGCCGAGTCAATAATTTCGGCCATGCGACTGGTCGCTGAGACGAGCAGAACTTTTATTTAAACAACACTTATACTTCTGTCTTTGAAGTATTTTAGCGTTCCGTATCGAGGTTTAAGTAACTTCGGATAATATTTGTAAATATATTTTCTGGTTGAAAAAGAGATATCGCGGTTCACGAGATTATCTTCCCGAAAAGTACCTAACGGTTCTAACATCTGCCACCACTTCGCGGTGGCAGTAATCATTTTGTCCGATGCCAGTGAATTTTATACAAACGAGAATACTCGGGTCGGACTAGTTTTTTTTTTTTTTTAATCGAAGGAACGATTTTTATACGACCCGATAGCGACATCTTAAGATTATCTTAAATTTAACCTAACGTTGTCTGTTTCACAAAATTCCTTCACCGAGGGTTGAGACGTGGGTTGAACGACAATGATTACCAGACATTTCTTGTGCGGCATTCGGCGCCCGTTATCGGCCGCGTTCGGTAGAAATTCTTCGTTCTCTGTTTAAGTTATTCAGCGTCGAGTAGAGGATAAACGTACTGCACGGATGCAAACGAACCATCGATATTTTTATACGCGTTATCATCGCCTGGGAGCTGATACGAGCTGGATTTTCACGCTTGTGGTTGTTTTACGCCACGCTTACAATGCCACTCGACGCTGATCCGTGTTGTTCCTCGGGCCGGTGAATGGGACCGAGCGAACCTGAATTAATATTTGTAAATGATTATATAGGTTGCAACACGCTTTTTCGTCCCTGTTGTGTTGCGCCGATGCAAATAAAATGTAACGAACTGTGCTCGGCTCCGTTAATTATTCGAATATTCAATTGATCATCAGCGCGTCGAACGGTATTTATTTATTTTTTTCCCCGCATTGCGTCGCTGATTGACTTTGTATCCGACATAATTCCCCCCCGCACGCGGGGAAATTTCCGTTTTTATCGAGTCTCGTTCGCTTAATGAATCCGTCGGTAACAAGTTTAACATTTATAGGTACCGTGCGACATTCTAATCCACGCTCCCAAATGTTGATCAAACTAATTTTGGTCGTTTCACTTTGTGTAATTTTATGTCAATATTTTATCGTTGACATAACACTTTTTTAATATTATTTTATTCTAAGCGATGAATGGTAAAAGAGCTGACGTTGATCAAATTACAATGTTGTAAGACTAATTTTGGTCGTTTCTCTTTGCGTAATTTTACATCAATCGTTCGACATTCTAATCCGCGCTCCCAAATGTTGTCAAACTAATTTTGGTCGTTTCTCTTTGCGTAATTTCACGTCAATATTTTATCGTTGATATAACTTTTTTAATATTATTTTACTCCAAGCGATGGATGATAAAAGAGCTGATGTTGATCAAATTACAATGTTGTAAGACTAATTTTGGTCGTTTCTCTTTGCGTAATTTTACATCAATCGTTCGACATTCTAATCCGCGCTCCCAAATGTTGTCAAACTAATTTTGGTCGTTTCTCTTTGCGTAATTTCACGTCAATATTTTATCGTTGATATAACTTTTTTAATATTATTTTACTCCAAGCGATGGATGATAAAAGAGCTGATGTTGATCAAATTACAATGTTGTAAGACTAATTTTGGTCGTTTCTCTTTGCGTAATTTTACATGAACCGTTCGACATTCTAATCCATGCTCCCAAATGTTGTCAAACTAATTTTGGTCGTTTCTCTTTGTGTAATTTTATGTCAATATTTTATCGTTGACATAACACTTTTTTAATATTATTTTATTCTAAGCGATGGATGGTAAAAGAGCCGACGTTGAGCAAATTACACGGATTGTTTCAACAATTGTTAACGTCACTGTATCACTGTTAATTGTAACTGTGTTACAGTTCGATTTTGAAAAATATTTTCATGCGATGCAAGCGTACCAACTCTTGCAATCTATTGATTAAAGATGGACACAGTTTGTCGCGACTAGTAGGTGTGGTGCGTGAGCGTGTTTATGCAAGAAACACCGTGTGAACGCGTTCATTCGTAACAAGTTACCCTACATAATGTTTGCTGTTGTTATTTGTGTTACTTACGATCGTTAATTCAGACTTATTATTTCGACCGTCGATAAACGGGGCGCAATACAGTAATGTCTCCCTAACTGACGCTCGGATTGTCCACAAAAATGGACAATTTGGGAAGAGGAGATACGATTGTTCGAGCCTTGCGGTTTATTTTTTGCCGTTTATAATGTAATATTTAATAATATAATAATATATATATATATATAATATATATCATATGTAATATATAATACTACTATATAATATACTATAATATACTATTATATAATAATATATTACATATATTATATATTATTACATTAAATAATATTACATAAATAATATATTACATATATTATTTATTATATATTATATATTACATTATATTATTATATTGTAATATAATATATATATATATAAATAATATAATAATTAATTTTGCGGTTTACAATTGCCCACAATTATAAAAATTAGCCGCAAGGCTCGAATAATCGAATATCTACTCTTCCCAAATTATCCATTTTAGTGCACAAAAATTATTATACTATATATATATTATATTATTATACTACTATATTTCAAAAGAATTTTCACGTTATTTATGAGTTTATATTCCGTAAGGGAGACATTGCTGTACTTGAAAATCCTTTCGATCAAATTTGTATTTACGAAGTCTGTCACGCATAAACGATCATGGCCACAGCGACATCAAATTGAAGACTTTCCAAAGCAAAGCAGTTCGCGACGAATTTTCAGTGGTAACGTCAATGAATTTAATTTTATAATATTATCGTAATCGCTGAAGGTTACAGTCGAGCACAAAACTCTGTAAGCCGCGATGTAAACAGAGAAATCGATGAAACATGATACGCTATTTGTAAATATCGCAAAGTTTGCCATTGACGACCGCTTTTATCGCGCCCAGCGAAGCTACTAAACGATGGTCGCTGGCCTGCTCAATGATTCTCCATTATCCAGCTTGAAGTTCATCGCGAGAAACGCTTAGATGCATGGGAGAGAAACCGTTCCGTAATAAGTGACACAATGGCCGCGTTATCATCATGTGCTCGCTTGCATAATGTTTTTCCTCTCCGGCACAGTGTCTCGTGTTGTTGTTGGACACAGTGTTACACGATGCTAGATCTATCTACTCGAGATTTTCTAAAACGACCGCGTTTCCCCACCGTTCGCACAACACCGTCGAATATTTATTTATAATTATCTATTTAGAGTCTGCGCCCCAAAACTGTAACTTATACTTTGCATCGCCATCGAATATCGAGTGCTATTTTCCCAAAAATTATTATTTCATTAATTCGTTCCAAAATGACGTCGGTTTTTCGTGTTTTCAAATTTATGTGATACAGTGTATCGATGAAAACGGTAACACGGGGTTAAGTTACATAATAATTGACTATCGAGGACTTGGTAAATTTCTCCATGCTCGACAGGTGATAATAATAATAATAATAATAATAATAATAATAACATAAGCATGTAATCTTTAAATCTTCCTTTTGTGCAATATTAATCCTTCAGTCGACCAGAAATCGTTAACACGGGGTTAAATTACATAATAATTGACTATCGAGGACTTGGTAAATTTCTCCATGCTTAACAGGTGATAATAGTAATAATAATAATAGTAATAATAATAATAGTAATAATAATAATAATAATAGTAATAATAATAATAGTAATAATAATAATAATAACAACATAAAAGCATGTAATCTTTAAATCTTCCTTTTGTGCAATATTAATCCTTTAGTCGACCAGAAGTATTTCAAGTTGACGCATCGCCGAGTTCAAGCTATTTTTCATACGAAGAGAAATTATAATATTAAAGATTTGTGTAATCGAAATAACATTTAAAAAAAACCGAAATAACATTTGTACTATATTTCTTGCGTGTCAAAAGGCAGCAAACTAACTATAGCATTGTGCTTGTTTAACTAAGAATTAAGTACGAAAATTCTTGGACGACATATCTTAATTTTAGCAATTTATATTACCGAATTTTTATATTATTATAATTAAAATTATAATAATTAATATTATTATTAATTACTATAATTTTTATATTCGAATTTGTTTTTAAATCTAGAATTCCCAAGCCATTATGCCGGCGTCAAACAAAAGAATCATATCTAAGATCTGCTATAGTGCTAATAAACATTCGTCGATTCGATCAAAATCGCGTCTATTCCACCGAAGCTTTCTGCCGGATTTCACAATTTCGTTCACTTTTTTTTGTCGAGTGTACGGCGACATTCGACCGTTGTCGAGGGTGTTAAACCCTTCAATTTTACATTAGCTGCCCGGACGTAATTTTTCCTCTTCGTTTTATCTGCGCGGAAGTGGCAATATTTGTTAACGAATCGATAAAAGCGTTCGATTTGCGCAAATTGAATCGTTCGCGTAACAAACAAACAAAAATCGCTCTCTCGACCGGGACCGAAAAGCCGTGTGTCACGATTCGTCAAAGTTGTGGATTAGCGAATTATTAAACGCGCCGGTGGCCTTGTGGATCGCGTCCTTGTGATACGGACGTAGGAATTCGTAGGATCGAAGGTGAGAAGCGACGGTACGCGATAAATTCTGCTCGTTCGAAATCGAGGCTCCGTCAGCCTCGATCGCGCGCAGACAGAATTTCTCCTTCTTCTCGGCTTGTTGTTTGCTTCGACGGTGACTCTCGTCGATACGGCAGAGCATCGAATTGGAAGATGATATTGCCGTTTGCGTCACGAGTTATACAGTAGACTTTTTTGCACCGGTAAACTCGGGAACACGACGGTTGGTTTCGTTGCAGCGTGTGTGTATGTACACTTGCGTTCGGTAACGCCAGGCCGAGCGCGTGTTGTGTGCGTTGGCAAAAGTTCAGCTTTCCATGAAATTACACCGGCGGTAATTGTAAATTGAACCGATGGAACAAAAATAATATGGTCATTCGAAAGCGAGAGGCGGCGCCGCAGGATTAGTCGTTTCATCCGTTGCACGTGATTCGAGACTCTAAGCTCGGCGCCAATTTATTGCGGAGAGAGAGAGAGAGAGAGAGAGAGAGAGAGAGGGAGAGAGCGAGAGAGAGAGAGAGAGAGAGCGAGAGAGAGAGAGAGAGAGCGAGAGAGAGAGGGAGAGAGAGCGAGAGAGAGAGAGAGAGAGAGAGAGAGAGAGAGAGAGAGGGAGGGAGAGCACGAGAGAGCGAGAGAGAAAGAGCACGAGAGAGCGAGAGAGAAAGAGCACGAAAGAGCGAGAAAGAAGGAGAGAGAGAGAGAGAGAGAGAGAGAGAGAGAGAGAGAGAGAGAGAGAGAGAGAGAGAGAGCAAGAGACTGGGAGAAAGAGCACGAGAGAGCAAGAGAGCGAGAGAGAAAGAGATCGAGAAAGAAGCAGAGAGAGAGAGAGAGAGAGAGCAAGAGACCGAGAGAAAGAGCACGAGAGAGAGAGAGAGAGACCGAGAGAGAGAGAGAGCGCACGGGAGAGAGACCGAGAGGAAGAGCACGAGAGAGCAAGAGAGCGAAAGAGAGAGAGAGAGAGAGAGCGCGCACGAGAGAGAGGGGGGGGAGGAAATATCGAATGGTTCGTATTTCGAGATGGTCGCGTCCCGTTTCGGGTTTTTTTCTGACACTTGGAAAACTTGAGACTTACCTGCAAGATGTCCGAACAATTGTGATTGATTCTGGCAGTTCCGTGGACGAAGATATGACGACACTGTAGAACGAAGTTATCGAGAAGTTTTGTAAGAATTCGTCGATAGGTCCGTTCGTTATTTATCGATTTTATTGGTACATTGAGGGACGAAAGTGTTGGGACACCTTTCGAAACGGTGTAACTTTCCTGAAACTGGAATAAATGACTGAATTTTTTCGGAGACGTTAGGAGTAGTTTATTGTAAAATGACTAAGATGCTGTTCTTTCTTTCTCTTTTTTTTTAATTTTGCTATTGCTTGGAATGATAAGAAAGGTGAAATACTAGCGTTTTTTAATTTTCTTTCTATCCGAGTCTGTAATGAAAATTTAACAAATGCGTTCTTCTTTTAGATCTTGGAAACTCATATGCAATACTGAAAATTCTAAGTATAATATTATATATTGTATAGTGCTGTGAATAATTATAGATTTTAATAAATTTTGCATTTTTGGTGATATTTAAACAGAAACTTAACGAAACATCACGGTTGTATATTTCTATTTTCTGTTCTTTCTGGCGTAGAAATAAAGAAATACGATGTATTGTTAAGTTTTCGTTTAGACACCAGCAACAATGTAAAAGTTGCTCCGAGTCGATAATTACGCACACCTCTGTATAAAAAGGTACTAAAGATTATTAAACTTCCTCGAAAGTGGAGTTTTCTACGAACAAGGATTAAGATGTTCATCGTTGAGAATTTTGAAAGGAAGTAAACGCAGGGGAGAAATTACAACTTTTGTGTATGCCAGGGTGAACAAAGGTAACGATAATGGATGCCTTTCAGTTGTCGGATAAGAATTAACGTGCGACAGGATCATCGTGATCCCAATGAAAAGAATTGTTTAATAGTTCAGGTAAAACAGGTACAACAATAATAATAACCATAATAATTGAAAATGATATTCTAGTTTCGACCGTTCGTTTCAACCCTTTGCACTCGTTCGGCGACTCCGAGGCGGCGCCAAAAATTATTATACTATATATATATATATAATATGTATTATATTTATTATTATTATTTATTTATTTTATTTTTATTATTATTATATTATTTATATTATATTTATTATTATTATTTATTATATTATATGTATTATTATATTATTATACTACTATATTTCAAAAGAATTTTCACATTATTTAAGTTTATATTCCGTAAATTTAAAACAAATAGAAGTCTTCTACTAGCCAACGGGTTCAATTTTCTACGCATCCAATAAAAAACGATCATGCGACATGGCGAGGTTATTTTTGAAACGAATTTTATATATTATTTAATTTTTAATTTTGATAATTATTATATTATTTGTTACTATAATCATTATATTATATTATTTTATATATTATAATCATTATATTATATTATTTTATATATTATAATTATTATATTATATTATTTTATATATTATAATTAATTTTTCTATATTATTATTATTATTATTATTATATTAATTTATTATTATTGACATTGACTTAACATTTCAGCGTCACAATTCTGTACTCGAAACAGCCTCGAGTGCAAAGTGTTGACCCTCGGGCGCGCCGCCATCATTTCTTCGGCGGTGGGCGAGCATCGGAACGCGAGCGAGCCCCTTGTATTCCGATAACCTGGAATCCGAAATACTAACATTGTTTCGAACTGCTAATTCAATCAGGCCGAGCCGTGTAATAACCACGATCACGCGGCGCAGCCATTAGCAATACCGCCGGGATGATCGATAATTTCTATAATTCTGTCGATTCGTTACCCGGGCTATCTGTCGCAAGTTACCCCGAGAGTAGTCCTCGGCGCGGTGTCCGTGTCTCCCGATCGCATTTCATCGCGAGCCTCGTCCGGAACCGGCAAATTGTGTTTTCCTAACGTTAACTGCCGCCGACAACGTCCGTCCTGCGTGCCCGCAAACAAATTGCTCATTACATACATGGTTCACCACCCGGTTTCTATCGCGCGCGCCTTTCGATTCGTGCGGGTGCTGCAGCAGCTACACCAAGCAATTATAACGACGACACCCGCACCGACGGCGATTTTCTTACCTCGCGAATGAAGAATGAATTCCATCCTTTCGGTTGTCCAATTAGAGCCGCGACGTGACGTAAGCGAGGGAATCTGTTGCGTTCGCGAGAGAGATCCATGTTTCAGCACAGCAACCGTCCATCCAGCAACACGACCATCGCGCACCGTTCGTTTAGCACCTTCGGCGACCGATCGCGTCGTCCCTGTTGCTTGCTTTCACCACCATTTCTCCGCCGCCGCACTTTCCGCCGCTGTGTTCTTTTAGGCTCGTTCGCCGGCACCCTCGGCTCTCCGAGCCACCTGGCCGACGATCGATGAATGTTTCCGCCTGATTGATCACCGTCGCTATTAATTACCTCGGAACAACCAGCGGCCGGCGTCCCTGTAATTTGGTCCAAATTTTTCTTCGTCGAATTCCTAATATCCCCGGATCCTTCGTTCGCCTTCGGTCAGGGTATCCTCTGTACCGATTCCGGGCATCCATAATTCGTTCTTCCGTTCTCCCGCTCGAAATTTAACGCTTTTAGCGCTCCGTTGGCTCCGCTATGGAGACATCCGTAATTTGTTCCGTAAATTTGGAGACTTAGCTGCGGAGCCTAATGTTCTTAGCATGATTACACCGAAGATGCTATGTTTTTGTCGACGTTGGCGATTGTTATTTGTAGCGAAAACGTGCTCAGCGTGTGTACCATTACGATTGAAACATTTTTTTGCCTATTTTTATACTTAGCAACATGAAATTAGTAAAATCGAACGCTTTCCGCTCGAAATAAGACTTCCTTTGTCTCGGGCGCTCCGCTCCAAAAATGTGCCGGAGTAGCTGGTAGCGATATTTTTCAGAAAAACGCTGTTCAACTTTATTTTAGAACGTCCGAAGAATGTTTACTAATTTTTAATTTAATTTAATTATCAATCGAGCCGATTCCAGTGAAGATTAACGATACCAAAATTCCGGCAAACTCGCGCAAAAGATATTTTTGTTTCGATAATTCCGTATCCGAACAGAATTCAATGGACGATTCGCAATGTTAATTTTGTAATAAATCCTGTCGAAGAACACGAGGGATATATTTATTTAAGAATTGCGAAGAATATCGTTAATATTAAATTTACCCATTTCGAATTCAATGGACGATTCGCAATGTTAATTTTGTAATAAATCGCGTCGAAGAGAACACGAGGGATATATTTATTTAAGAATTGTGAATAATATCGTTAATAGTAAATTTACCCATTTCGACGAGGATGCGTTTGCTGCTTGGAAATTTCGGTCACAATTCACGATATCGATGCACTGACCTCGCACAACGTTAAGTAGATACCATTACGATCGAAACATTTTTCGCCCATTTTTATACTTAGCAGCATAAAATGAATAAAATCGAACGCTTTCGCAAGGACTTGTAATCTTTACCGCCCAAAATAAGACTTCCTTTATCTCGGGCGCTTCGGTCCAAAAATGTGCCCGAGTTGCAGAGGTAGGTAGTACTCGAGAAACGCGTGGAGCGCTAAGGGTTAACCATTCGGCCGGTACGTGTGTCCCCTTCGCGGTCCTCCGTGGCCAACGAGCCGTGAACGTTTCTTCCCCGCCGGAGGATCCCCGTCGATATTAATTCTCTCTACCGTCTCCTCTATCTTTAGATCGTCTCTATCCTTCGTCGCGTTCTTCTCGATCCTTCGCTCGCCTGTCCAGGCCGGCGGAAGACTCGCGTTCCAAACTTAACGTCCGTCCCGCGCGTCTCCCTCCCCCTTCCCTCCGCCGTTCACCTGTTCGACGAATCGTGAACGTATCCTCCGCATTGATCCCCATCATTCATAATTCGGGAACCGTGTGCAATCGAACATCCTCCGGGAATCGAGCGGACAGTTCCGAGGGAAATGCAATCCCATCTCCTACGGCCTCTCTCCCCCCCACCTGGATAGGGGTTGCTGGAGGTGGAGTGGGGAGGGGGGCAGACGGGAACGGTTTGGGCTAGGTCAAGCCGGGGTTAGGTCGAGTTCAGGTAGGAGTGGACTGACGGCCGGGAGTAGGGGCGGTCGGGTGGGGGGTGCGGATCCATCCCCTCCCTCCCTCCCTCTCGGTTAGACACAATGGCACAACAAAGCGTTACCGGGGCAACTGGTCGTTCGGGGTTGCCATCACAAAACTTTCCAACTTGTGACTGCAAACATTACCACCGGCACACGCGCTCCATCCACGGCAGAGAACCGTCGCGTCCATCGGGGGCGGCGTAGGCGAGGGGCCGCTGGAAGGGGGCGGCCGCGAGGGGCCGGGGCGCGCGGGGGGGGGTGGCGCGTGAGCTCGAGCGCACGCACGGCCGTCGTCACGCGACCACGCGTGCTCCCGACACGCACCGCGCTCGTGTCCCCGCGCGGAAAACAATGGGAAAGGGGAAGGATGCGTGCACCCCCCGGTCGTACCCCCGTGCCATTATTTTCGAGTCCGTTTCTGTTTTTAATGCTAGACTGTTCCACGGTATGTATTTCGTTTCTTCTTGTTCGCGCGGTTATTAATCACCGGTTTTTGTCTCCTCTTTTAAGAAACGATACGGAGATATGCGCGGATTTTTAACCCCCGGACGACCCTCTTGGGTTTTGAAGAACGAGGGACGTTGTGGAGTTACTGGAGACTCGTAATATTAACCCTTTGCACTCGAAGCTATTTTAACTGAAAGTATAAAATCATTTTTAGAATATTTATAGTATTTCTACTTTATATTGCAAAATGCATTTTATGCATATGATGTTGAGTCTTGGGACTCGCACAATGGTTATACTCTTAACAATTTTTCAAATCTAAACTTTGTTAATATCAAGATTATCTTGAGAGGTGATGTAACAAATTTTAGTGGTGCCTTAAAGTCACCACTCGAGTGCAGAGGGTTAATAATATTAATAAGTTATTTTAACTGAAAATATAAAATCATTTTTCTAACTTGTAGTATTTCTACTTTATATGACAAAATGCATTTTATGCGTATGAAATTGAGTCTTGGGACTCGCACAACAGTTACACTCTTAATTTTTCAAATCTAAACTTTGTTAATATCAACATCATCTTGAAAGATGATATAACAAATTTTAGTGGTGCCTCAGAGTCAGCACTCGAGTGCAAAGGGTTAATAATTAATCCGTATGCCAATAACTAGGTTGTACCCTTTTGCGTATTCTTTTGAAAGTATTTTTTTGTTCTTGCTTAAATATTTCAATATCCAATAATTCGTTATTTTGCATATTTTATATGGATATCTGTTTCGGGTCTACAATTGTTGTTATTGCAAAAGTTATTGCAAAAGTACTAACGTTGGACGAGAAAGTTTGATACACGTTTGTTCAACAACCGGAGCACCCTTATTAGGGGGAGAATGGATGTTCCTCAGGCAACGAATAAAAATAAAATTTTATGGCGATTATAAATATGAGATAAATAAAAGTTAATGTTCGTATAATTACACGAAAGCTATAAAAAACAGTAACGTGTAATATAGGAGCTCGTCGCAAGGTTACCCGGGTACCCCGGTTATAGAACAACGTCCACAATTTCGGTTATTGACACAAGGGTTAAAATGTTATTTATTATTTTGAAAATATTATTCTTTGTGTTCTTCACTGGGTGTCTTAAGAAATGATAAATTGCACGGTTCGATCTTCGTTTACAAAAAGAACAATCTTGCCACAGAAATATCCAATCGATTGTTTTATGTATACAATTATTTCCGTTAAAATTNCACAATATAATAATAATAATCGATAATAATAACCACGATGTAATAATAATAATTATTATTATTATTATATCGTGATTATTATTATCGTCTATTATCGTTTATAATAATAATAATAATAATAATAATAATAATAATAATAATAATAATAATAATAGACGATAATAATAATAAATAATAATAATAAAAACAATAATAATAAACGATAATAATAATAATTATTATTATTATAAACGATAATAGACGATAATAATAATCACGATATAATAATAATAATAATTATTATTATTACATCGTGGTTATTATTATCGATTATTATTATTATATTGTGATTATTATTATCGTTTATTATTATTATTATTATTATTATTATATCGTGATAACTGTAGGGGATACACTATAGTATACACTTATCAACGAAAGATAGGAAATAACTTTTTTAAAAATTGGACTTGAATTTTTTTTTTGAGATGTCGATGACTCTAGTATACTGTACAATGATTAAAATACTTTTTTAAAAACTTTGCCATTACTTAGAGTGACGAAAATAATGAACACTCGTTTCTCAACGTTTTTTTATCTGAGCCAATAACGAAAATTTAGAAAATGCGTTTCGTGGGCCTCGGTAACTTATTTAGCCGAATATTCCGGTTAATTGTGAAAGGCCAGTTGCTCTCAAAGGGTCAACCGGTCCGTCACGCGGTATCATTGGCTCGCGGAGTCAGCGCGATTGATGACAGAGAACGATACGTGCGTCTCGTCGAAGATGTCGGCGCGCCGATGCGATCGGCGGCTTTCGCGGCGCGCAAAAAGCTTCTGGGCCGTCTGTAATTACATCAGCGTGTCGGGGATGGTGTAATGAGCGAACGTTGACCAAGGTCAGTAACGAGAACGCTCTCGCGAAAAACGGGCCGCGGACCGTAGCCCGCACTTTGCGAACCTGAGCATCTAAAATGGAGAGAAAGCGGCCGGCGCGCGATCGCGATAAACGCGAGCAGGCGAAAAGGAAATTTTTCCGCGTGCAAATGCGAATGCGGCTAAACGTTTCCCTTTCGCATCGGAGTCGTGTAACGCGCTGCGTATCTCTTTGCCATCAAATCCAGCGGAATTGAAGTCGATTCGCCGATCAGCCGACCTATGCAGAATTATGACGAATCTCAGAAGCTTCGTGTCCATTTCGAACGGCTCTATGAATAGTTTCAGAGAAGACGATGCGGTGTTTACATCTTGGAATGGACGAGAGTGATGCGTTGTGCAACGAACGCACTGTCATCCAGTCGAGCGTCTGACTCAACTTTCGTGAATAAGCGCACATGTGCAGCTTGACGATGGAAGCACTTGAAATCTCCGCGTAACTCTTCGCAATTGTCTTAGCCTTCGCACCGAACAAATTCTGTGTCGGACACTTTCGGCATTTTTTTTTGTTGGTCGTGTAATACTCCTGATCCAAGCAGATCATGAAAATACGTCTATTAACACACGCACGATTAAAGTATTTTAATTGATTCAAATACTTTACGCTTGAAATTTCCGTGTAACTTCTCGCAATTGTCTAAGCTTTTGCATGAAACAAATTTTGCGTCGGACATTTTCGGCAATTTTTTTACGTGGATCGCGTAATACTCGTGATCCAAGCTGATCATGAAAATACGTCTATTAACATACGCACGATTAAAGTATTTTAATCGATTCAAATACTTTACGCTTGAAATTTCCGTGTAACTTCTCGCAATTGTCTAAGCTTTTGCATGAAACAAATTTTGCGTCGGACACTTTCGGCAATTTTTTTACGTGGATCGCGTAATACTCGTGATCCAAGCAGATCATGAAAATACGCCTATTAACACATACACACACGATTAAAGTATTGTAATCAATTAAATTAAACTTGCTAAGCAAAGTTATATGACGTCGATTATTATTTCAACATTCTTACTTCTTGAG